TCAAATATTACATATTTTACACATGCTATGAACTGACCACTCCATATTTTAATGTTTTGTCTTTCAAAAGAAAGGGAATAGGGGTTACATAAATCAGATAAACATTTATTGTCTTTTATATTGAAAATTATGCCCTACTATTATTTGCTTTTAAGTACAAATCCTTTTAAAATTGAGATGAAGGCTTCCCAGTTGACATCAGTCAACTGAGACTGATTTTTGCCAGAAATAATAGCAAATGTGGCGAATTTTGTAACAGTCATTAGTATTTTCCTTCTTCTATAGGAGTGTAAAGACTGGAGTGTTCTGTGTAGTGGTCTCAGAAAGATCATTAAGGACAAGGGATGATATAAACAGTCATCTAAAAGCATGGCAAATCAATCATAATTAACACTTTGAGGTACTTCCTGCACACAAAGCCATTGAAGGAAAAGGTCATTGAAGGGGATCACTGGACAATGTGCAGATATGGGGGCAAACAAGTTTCTTCACTCCAGTTCTCCTTTTTGGTTGATCAGTTCCTGCCCCTGCTTTCAGCACCACCTGATGCTGGAGCATATCAGGGTCCTGCTGGGAAGGAAGCAGGACAGGGCAGGGGTGACAGTGAGCTACACAGAACTACAACCGTGATCTACAAAAGCCATTCTGAAGCTAAGTGGAAAGTCCAAGGAGAAAGTTGTGATTTAGAGACAATCTGTAAAGTATTTAGGCACACAAGGTGAGAGATGTAGGCATTTATTGACCTCCAAAATCTACCGTCTTGAAGCATCTACAGAAGGCACCTCAGCTAGATTTTTACTTAATTCACCTGTTAATAATATTACTTGAAACAGAAAGAAGTGCAGGACAAAGAAATGAATTCCTCTTTGTCATACATTGTGTAGTGACAGTTATTTAATTAAAGAAGAAAAACTCAACACCCCTTCTCTTCTCTCAGACCTGGTACAGCAAGTATTAGACAAGAATGTCTTCCGGCCTAAGCCCTGTAGTGAAATGCCCATTTTGTGCATTATCTTGGGTCTCACAAGACAGGGAAATGTGCACATACCTAGAGCTGTCAAGAGCTAGGTATGCCCAGAAACAGACCCTTTAACACACAGTGTATGTTTTCTGCCATTCCCAAGGTCATACAGCAGTCAGACTGGATATGAGTGGAAGACGGAATGAAAAATAAATGTATCGTCACACAAAAAGTGCAAACCAAATTCCCGAAATCCAAATGTTTGAATACACTATGGGCCTTCATTACAGATCATCAATGAAGATTTATTGCAGGACTAAAACCACAGACTTGATCTATTAGATGAAATCAACAGTTTCCATGTAGATCAGACTTGAAAGTAAAGTACAGCACAGACAATGCCACAGAGATACTTTTAAAGTTGTGGTTACTGTAAGTCAGTTGTTTAAAACTTCTTTTACAGAATAAATTAATTAGTTTTTGAAATAGAACACTAAAACACAGAACATATAAGTGATGTGCTAGCATTACTAGTCACAGAAGACCAGGAACCTATTGCAGTAGATGTCCACCATAAGCTATTGACAACTAGTCTGTGTCTACTTCATCTTGAATTCCTGAATATTTTCATTCTAGTGACTGGTTTGGTAGTAACAGCACCTGAGCACACACACTTCACCCTCCTCAACTCAAACCCTGACTGGGACTAAACCCATGAGGATCCATATCTAAGTGGTGAACATAGAATCGTAGAATAGTTAGGATTGGAAAGGACCTTAAGATCATCAAGTTCCATTGAGCAGGGACACCTCCCACTAAGCCAAGTCACCCAAGGCTCTGTCCAACCTGGTCTTGAACACCACCAAGGATGAAGCATTCACAGCTTCATTGGGCAGCCCATTCCAGTTCCTGACCACCCTTACAGTAAAGAACTTCCTCCTTATATCCAATCTAAACTTCCCCTGTTTAAGTTTTAACCCATTAACCCTTGTCCTATCACTACAGTCCCTAATGAAGAGTCCCTCCCCAGCATCACTATATGCCCCCTTCAGATACTGGAAGGCTGCTATGAGGTCTCCACACAGGCTTCTCTTCTCCAGGCTGAACAGCCCCAACTTTCTCAGCTTATCTTCATATGGGAGGTGCTCCAGTCCCCTGATCATTCTCATGGCCCTCCTCTGGACTTGTTCCAACAGATCCATGTCCTTTTTATGTTGAGGACACCAGAACTGTACACAATACTCCAAGTGAGTTCTCACAAGAGCAGAGTAGAGGGGCAGGATCACCTCCTTTTACCTGCTGGTCATGCTCCTTTTGATGCAGCCCAGGTTATGGTTGGTTTTCTGGGCTGCGAGAGCACACTGAAGCCAGCTCATGTTCAGTTCCTTCTCTGCAGGGCTGCTCTGAATCTGTTCTCTGCCCAACCTGTGACTGTTCCTGATATTGCTCTGACCCAGGTGTAGGACCTTGTACTTGGCATGGTTAAACTTGATCCTCTCCTACAGTGGGCCCAACTTCTTCATTCTCACAGTCCCTGCATTCGCCCTTCAAGACTTGGGTGGTGTGGTCAGTGCACTTGCCAGTGAAGACTGAGGCAAAGAAGTCATTAAGAACCTCAGCCTTCTCCAAATCCAGGATAGCCAGTTCTCCTGAAAGCTTCTGGAGAGGGCCCACGTAGTCCCTAGTCTGTCTTTTATTTGCAATGTAACTATAGAATCCCTTCCTGTTATCCTTAACATCCCTAGCCAAGTTTAATTCTAACTGGGCCTTAGCTTTCCTAACCTGGTCCCTAGCTTCCCAGACAACATCCCCGTATTCTTCCCAGGCCGCCTGTCCTTGCTTCCACCTTTTATAAGCCTTTTTTTCCCTCTGAATTTTCCTCAGCAGCTCCTTATCCACCCATGGAGGTCTCCTGGCCCTCCTGCTGCACTTCCTTCTAGTTGGGATGAAACACTCCTGAGCTTGTAGCAGGTGATCCTTGAATATTAAGCAAGAGTCTTGGGCCCCCCTGCCCTCTAGTGCTATATCCCATGGAACCTTACTGAGCAGGTTCCTGAAGAGGCCAAAGTCTGCTCTCTTGAAGTCCAGGGCAATGAGCTCACTGCATGCTCTTCTCACTGTCCTGAGGATCTTGAACTTGACCATCTTATGATTGCATTACATTACAGGCATCCCTGCCTCTGTATCAGGACTGCTGGGCTTTCATCTTCATTTGTGAAAAAGCAGTGAGGTAAATAGTTGGGGTAGCTCTATTGGAGAAGAAAAGAATAGCTGTGCCAACAGAAAGCTGGAGTTTCCTCTTCACTAGACAGAGACTGTTGTGATGATGGCCATCATTACTTCATAACTAGATTTCCATGAACTAGTTCAGTGTTCTCAATCTAATCAAAATTTGCATTGAATATGATTAGTTTAAAATAGCTAAAGTAATAATGCAGTGTAGCAAATTAAAAAAAAAGAAGTGTTTGACACAAAAGAATTAACATTCTTCACATAACAGTTATCATACTGTATGCTTCTGATTCTGTGGGCACTTTCTTCTATGGCTTCACTTTGAACTCAATCACTCCGAGTGTATCTCACAAATGAAGCCTAGCTCTACTTAGAATCTGAACAAAAATTCATTTACGATGTAGCAAACTCAGTGCATGCATAACTGATTTAAATACTATTATGGGGGTGAAGCATAATTAATTTTAAAATCATATTTAAGTGTTTTTTAGTTTGTGATCTCCTGCCTCATTTAACATGAAGAGAACATCACTAAATCATTTACTTTGCACATAGGGGAGGCTTACTTTCTGCTCAAGTGTTTAGCATTTTTATTCCTTTTTGTTTTTTAAACCAGAAGATTTTCTACTGTTGCCATGATTACACTGTAAACTGTTTAAAAGCCCCTGTTCACAAAAGAATCCTGCAGAAATGCTGAAGCTCTGACTCACTTCAATTTAGCAGCTTTGTCAAATTTCTCTAGCTTGAAACACGATGAAGCAAATTAGTGACAAACATTGAGTATTCTGCTCTTATAAGGCCTATAAACATTTTGGTTTGTACGCATAACAGCAAATCTCAGGCAGCTGAAATAAATCCAGACAGAGAGTTTAAAGGGGCAAGTTTTCCAGAGATGAATGCAACAGATCATGGTGCATGATGGTCTCAGGTATGTGATGATGGTAGCATTACAACACAGACACATAAATGGAATTAACATCTGTAAACAAGTATGAGTTGAAAGGCTAAAATTACACAGATGAAATCTTAGCTTTCCTTTATTGGCCAGTGAGTACCATACTCAAGCATGAAGCATGGCACCACCCCACACTTAAGTGCTGATAGAAAGCATGTAAGTGTGTATATAACTCGCCATTTAAGCCAGTGTTCAACAGTGGTGGAATTAAAGTGCCAACATTAAGAAAGTTTTCTTAGCACAAGATAAGCTGTTTTCTGGTTTGGGTCCTCCAGTTACTCTTTTCCTAAGGTTAAAAAGCATGGGACAGATTAAAAGACACTTTACATAACCAGAAGTTGTCCGTTTTTCTTGTATTGTAGTTCAGATCTCTCAAAGTTTATAATGTATGATTGTTGTCATGAAAACATCACAATTTACCATCAGCACTGAAAACAGTGTACGACTTTCTCATACTTAGGGCAGACCCATTGGAACGAGAGCCCCACAGGGCACAGATTGTATCTTTTGATGTATAAAATTCCCACTCATTTTTTCAGTTCATTTTTTAGCACAGAAGACAAGATTTAACCCCTGAAAAAAACTGGAGTTTTTTTTTTTTTTTTTTTTTAACTTTACCGGAAATATTAAGGGCAATTCAGAATTACTGTCTTCAACTGGTAGTACAAAACTAGACATTCAAGATCTTCATGCATGTGCACAAATATCTGCTGGTTCAGGCAGTCCACTTTCTGCTGGCATATATTGCTTTGCACAACATATATGCAACACTGAGGAAACCTCTTTGTAAACAGTCATCAATAAACGCACCAAGCACATTACTATGGCTTTGGGGTTCCCTCCATGGTATTTCTCAAGAGCATTCACTGTAATTGTCCTATTCATCCTCTCTCTAAAAAAGAATGTGTAAATTAGAAGTGATATGGAGAATTTTAAATGTACTTTATGCTGCCTTGTCCTATGTCCCCCTCGTTTCATTCATTAAGTAGGTTTAGGCTCAGTATTTTGGTGCAACTGCCAAGAAGTCTTGCTGTTGCAGAAAGCAGAGACGATTCATGAGGTAGCCCTCTGTCCTTCCCACATGTCTGAATGACAGAGCTGCAGAAGTTTGCTATTTTCCAGATGAAATATAAGTTTAAAGAAGATTCATTCCCCAAACCCTTGCAGCATGCCTCACAGTGTTAATCCTGGTGTCCTGGCCAAACTCCAGCCTGGGTGATTACACTGTATGTGTTGAAATCCTCTCTGCAGTCTCAGTTGGTTATGTCACTCTTCCAGCTTCTAAAAACTATTGTGTAATGTTGTTAATGCATTTCACTGGAAGCAGTAAATTTCATTTGTGTTTAAAATATCCACCATATTTCTGGACAGCACATAACTGAAAAATTTTTCAGAATGTTATTTTATGCAGGTTGCATAGCACCTTTTCCATAGGCCTCCATGTTTATTCAGGCTAAGGCTACACGGCTGGTTGCAATACTGCATAGCCCTATTTAAGAAGCCTGCAGTCACCAGTGCTACCGTATCCTTATTTCTGCCCACTAGCTCCACTGCTCTGTTACATGGCACAGTAGCTGAGGGAATACATCTGCCCAAAGAGGTGATTTCCTCTTCTGTAGATTGTAAGTTGGTCAAGGACTGAGACAACAATTGTGCTGACACAGTTATGGGACTGATTAGATAGAGAATGCTTAAATCATCGTTGCCACAGGAGAAATGCTATATAACTTGGCATAAGCATACTAGTGCAGGAAAATGGGAAGAGTGGTACTCCAATGAGGGCATCTGTCAGAAGCGGTAGCTTTGCAGAAAGGGTGGATTTAAATCACCTGAGAAAATAATAAAACATTCACCATTTGAATGTCTCTAGATGTAGCCTTTTGCATGCAGGTTTTAAAGACAAAATACACCAACTGCGACAGAAAAGGGATCTTGCACTGATTGGAACAGCTCAAGTTACTGTCCCTCCTTGCTGTGATGTGGAGCAATAACAATGTGAAGCTGTTTTCTCTCCTTATAAGGGTAAGTTGTCTGGTGGCATATATTGTTCTAGAAAAATATATTATCTACCTAACATAATTCATAATTAAACTGAAGACACCATAGATGCTTGAAATAGTCAGCATTTGTTGACATTACAGGCTTGGACTGAATTCAGACCATGGAAATGAGAAAACCCATGTGAATGCCCTAGTGGTCTGTATTGAGTCAACGGCTTGCAGCTCAATGCATCAAACATAAGCTTTCTTTGCAAACCATCATAAGGTTTGGGCCCTTGGGCAATGACTACCTAAAGACAATTTTTTTTTTTGAACATCAGATGTCCACAAATACAAAGTCTAATTCAAACTCAATCTGTTATATTAGACTTCATTACAAGAATAATAAAATGTTATCCATCTCAGTAACTGCACTCAGAATTTTACAGTAGCAGAAGTTGCCTGCTTTGCAACACTGCATATTCTTGGGACACTTATATGTGAATTTACTACATCTTCCATAAGGTAATACCCTGACTTGGGATACTGTGTGAGGTTTTTATGTCAAAACATATTGGCACCTTTTTGCAATACATATAAATGTTAAATAGTCTCAAGAATTCATTCTGTGCTCATTCCTTTTCAGCTCAAGATGGATTATCCAAATTGATCATACCACAAACACACTCATTAAAAGAGTTCAACATTTATGATGCATCATGTCAAGCAAGGTCATGATTTAATGTAAGCTGATTCATCATAAATTAAGAAGCCAAGGAAAATAACTCCTGAAGGCCAAGGAAAGCATATATTAAAAAAATAGTCTGTAGTGGTCTACACAAAAAATCTATTGCTGTCCCACAGTATATGTGGATGTAAGTACAACTGTAAACTAGAAGTACATGTGGTACTTCAAAAGGGACACTTGCCAAAGCTGAAAGCAGCTTTAAGTAAAATAGAATGGGAAAGGAAACACAGATATGTAATGGTTGTATAACTAGAAACTGTTTAATTATGCAATACTCTTCAAACTGCACAGTAGTGTAATCATGCAGCAAATCTGCTTCATTTAAAATTATCCCATCAAAGAAAAGGTGAGAAAGTAACGTTTTAAAATACACTAGAAGAGCAAGAAAGAAAGTGAGGGAGTCAAACAGGAATGGCACTACAGCATTTATGCATTATGTAGGATACAACAATGGAATACACTTATAGAAAGTGATGGGAAGTTTCCCAATATGAGTGCAGAAAAGGCAGAATTCTACATTACAAATGTGTATGCTTCTGTTTTTTAAAAAAAGTAATGATAGCATAATATCTCATAAAACAAGGCAATACTTTCTCTTTTCCATTTTCTACATTTGTTAATGAGTTCTAACTAGAAGTAAATATTTTAAAGTTTGAGTTTCTACACAAATTTCATCCAAAAGCCTTATAAGAATTGTCTAAGGAACTACTAACATACCAGTAAATTTTGGCACACTTGGGAGCAAGATAATCTTACCAGATTTTAGAAAAGTAAACCTGGAAGGAAAGACAAAATACTGAAAAAGATCTGGAGATCATATTAGAGAACAGTTGCTCAAAACAGAAATATTCTCTGTTCAGCTGTATGATTCCTATAGTAAATGCAAATCCTCAATGTAAAATACTGAGAAAGGAGAAGTGGAGAAAGGTAGGCTTTAAACACAAGTAGGCAAGGGACATTACTTATGTTTTGGCAGGCCATTACCAGCATATTCTGCTAAATCCACTTCAAAAGTAGGCTGATCAATTTGAAAGGGTTCAGAAAAGAGTCATAAAAATGACTTAAGGTCTGGAAAACAAATTCAGGCTATTCCACACAGATTTTAAACAAGAAGGATGGTTAACTAATAAAATATCTATAATCCTTGTGATGCAAGTGGGCCTTTGAATCTTCCATCAACTCAAATTGCTAGCAGTTCTCTAAATTAGTATCAGGTTAATTACCGGCACAGACGCTACTTCTGCATGCGCTGAATACGATGGATCACCCTTCACAGCCAGCTGGCACACTCAGTACAGGAATATACAGTGCTCAAGTCAAAATAGACAGGGATGAAACTCAACCACCCTGTTACTTTTCTTTCCACAAGTAACCAATGACATTAACTTTCTTCTCAGAATAAGGCTGTTACACAGGCATCTTGTCCTTGTTCTGGCTTGCTGAGGGCCTGGGTTTTTTTGGCAGGGTGAGGGAGGGTAATGAGGGGCAAGAAGGGAGCTGTGCATGTGACATTTGTGCTAATTATCTCTCTCAATTCAGTGCATGTATATGTGGGTTAAACATCAACATGCAAAAAATCTCTATAGAGTAAATTGGTTTTGCATCCCCACACACCATATTAAAATGTGTATCAAAGTATAGGTTACATGTTTTATGCAACAATATGGTTTACTCTTAGCCATAAGATGTGCTGTCAGAAGAAAAGTCTCTGCAAAACAAGAGTGAAACTTATGCTGTAACTGAAATGCTTTTTTGTATAAGCATATGTTTTCATTGACTGGGATCTAAGAGATCATCTTCAAACATTACACTTTGAAAAATAAATCAATAAATGTAGGGATTTTCCTAAGTACATGGCATTTTCTTAGCATACAAGCTAAGTATTTATGTGGGTAATCATCAAATACAGATTATGCGAATTTCATGAACAGTGTTCTGAAATATGCAGGTGAGATATTATTCATGTTAAAAAGAATGTGATATTCACATAGGGACCCTTTTTTCCTTTTTTTAGTCTTTTCTATATCACAACAATTGTTTGAGAAAACAGATTAGATTTTTTTTTTTTTTTTTTTTGTGGGGAAAGTGTTAATCACATCAGAATTGCTTTAAAATTTCCCAGTTTCCTCCCTTAATTTTTATTTCCAGACTGGGAGGAGAGGGTAACTAATAGACTTCTTTTATTGATTCTGCTGTGTGTGAAGTTACAGAAAATGAAACTTTTGCCCTGTTCTGATTAATTATTGGCCATCTTGGAGCCCTGTTGAGTCAGGTGACAGTGTGGAATACCCATTTCTCAGGAAAGCCCCATTCCTCCCTCAAAAGGGGCCACTCACTGAAAATCCCTTCACAGTCTGCTACAAAAGCTTTTCTGCTATTCTTCTTCACAATAATATATATTTTACCCTTCTGAGATGAAAAGACGAAGGGGCTCAAGCTAAGAAAAGTTGACCAGGAGGCTGGTGACAGCAGTCACTTGAGATCCTTTCAGAGATGCTCTCAAGCATAAATATTTAATCTCCTTCGTTCCCCCTAGTGTGAATAATTTTTTTCCCCTTCAAGTATCAAAACAAAGTTATTGAAATGCATATAACCCTGATATTTGATCCATGGCCTCTAAGGGTCAAATACACACTGACCAAGCTCTTAAAGCCTGCAGAACTTTCAGGTGGTCACTTTGCACACACCAGCTCATCAATCAAGCAATAATCAGCAGGACAAATGGGGGAAGATGCTGGTACAGACTACTTAAAAGGCCTGGGCAGCTGGTCCACTTCAAGAGTCCTCTTTATATGGTTTCAGCCTTTAGCCCTCACTGTTTGAAGGGAATTAAATACACTTGTTAGTTTCAATAGTTTATCCCCACATCTGTTTGCATTAGCAAACAAAACTGTTCTTGCTTCAGCATCTCTCTTCTAACATTTGGATCACTTCTTCTGAAATAAGAAATGCCCTCAAAACACATTAGCAATTTCACTTTTCGTTTAAAGTATGTCACACATCCAATCTCCCTGCCTCATTTTGTCTTTGCAATAACTGCTTTGGTAGAAGCTGCAGTCAGAAAGAGACACATTTATCCTGAGTAACTTGCTCATAACAGAAACAGATTATAATAAACCACATTGAGATCATTGCCCCAAATTAAAAGCATTGCTGTACAAATACCTTGAACTGGGTTAGTATTTATTTTCTTGGGCTGTTGGTTGGTCATGTTGATGACAAGCTAGTAGCAATTCTGAAATGTTGATCACATCTGTTTATCAATTAATATGCAGTGACTATTCTTAGCTTTTCAATAGAGGAGGATAAATTGGTTGGCAAAGTATAAATTCATTCTGTCTCTCACCAAGGAACAAGCAAAACTGACAACCTCCTCCACTCCCAGTATGTCATAATTAGAAATTAGAGCTGCATCAAACTGTTCGCTACAGCTGTAAACTCTGGCAAAAGAAAAAAACCCTCAAAAACTCTCTGTCATTTACTTAATAGGCTTCCTATTTACTGTGAGCATGCTGAAATTAGGGATTGGGTTTTAACGCAAGCAGAGAACAGGATATTTCCAAGAATTTCTGGAGGTTAAAAAACTGCTTTAGAGTGTCTGTCTTTCTCTAATTACTTTATTACATTTAAGAATGAAATTAAAAAAGGGTTTGAATTCTTAGAATTAAGAAATGAAAACGTGGCATAAAATACACAATGAATGCATAACTTAGAAATGCAATCTATGAAAAGGTAAAACATAAATAGAATGGGAATATTCAAACACCAGATCTTAGAGGAACTTTGGAAAACTATTTTCTTCTGAAATTAAGTTGCTATATTCTGGGTGACTGTCACATTTGTGGGGATTTTCTTTGCTGGAAACCAGAAGGAAAGAAAAAATGACTATTTTCCTTAAAAATGTCATTTTCAGAAAAAAAAACAGAATTAAAGCAGATATCCCATTAAATAAAAATAAGAAATAATAGTGTGCAGATGGAAAATCAGAAGACATTAAAGCCACAGAGCTGCCAACTTGGCTTCCTCAATTGCTGTGGGGATCAACCCATAAATAAGAAAATATTATGGTCAGAGATCTGTTTTTTTGTTGTTTGGGGTTTTT